CGGCACGAATCGAAATTTTTCCGATATTCGACTCGAATTCCACTTCGGATACTTCGATTCGCTCATCTCTAGTCCCTAAGTAACAATTCTGTGACCCTAAGTAACGTTTCTGTGGCCCTAAGTAATGTTTCTGTGGCCCTAAGTAACGATTCTGTGGCCCTAAGTAACGATTCTGTGGCCCTCAGTAACAAATCTGTGTCCCTCAGTAACAATTCTGTGTCTGTCCCCAAGTAACAATTCTGTGGCCCTAAGTAACGTTTCTGTGGCCCTAAGTAACGATTCTGTGGCCCTCAGTAACAATTCTGTATCCCTCAGTAACAATTCTGTCTGTCCCTGAGTAACAATTCTGTGTCCCTAAGTAATGTTTCTGTGGCCCTAACTAACGATTCTGTGGCCCTAAGTAACGTTTCTGTGGCCCTAAGTAACGTTTCTGTGGCCCTAAGTAACGATTCTGTGGCCCTAACTAACGTTTCTGTGTCCCTAAGTAACGTTTCTCTCTGTCCCTAACTCTCTCCCTGAATACAGCCAGGTCTGCCTCTGTTGAATGACTGGAGGCAAATGGAGAATTCTAAAATGGCCGCCATTTATAGCTCGACCATTACACTGTGCTGGCTGGCTGCTGATTGGCTAATGCGATCACATGTCATGAATGAATGCATTATGGGTCAGCGCGCCTTGTCTGCGCGCCTTCCCAGACATCCCCGCTGCGTCGCCGCCATTTTAGGAAAAATTTCGATTCGCGCATCCGAAGTCTGCTTATTTTCGGATTCGACGCGAATCGAAATTTTCCTAATATTCGAAACGAATTCCACTTCGCCTACTTCGATTCGCTCATCTCTACCTGCAACCACCAAACCCAGACATGTCCGTCAGATTGCCAGACAGAGAAGCGTGATTCGTCTTCCATACAATATGTCTCCACTGCTTGTAGTGACTTTTGGGGGACTATTTATTAAGAAATTATTTTATTCCAAAATTGGGAATCCCAGCTGTTAGGGGTTAACATTCTAGAGAGAATTTCAAGGGATATTTCAAGAGGTTATCACACACACAATGAGTGGAAGAGACTTGTTCAAGACACAATATACTATTTAAATTTCTACAGGTGATCAAACAAAGTCCCAGAAAAGATAATGGTGGGATCTGAGTTTGGAGTCTAAGATCTTGCAGATATATGTTTGCTAAACAAATACCATTGTCTAGGGAAAGTTAGGAGATTCTGCAGGAAACTTAATTATAAAGTCAAACACCACTATTTGGACTTCCACAGGTGAGTCATCACACCTAACCAAAAGAACAATGATGAGATTGAAACCTGACTGTCTGAAAGCTCACACAAAACCTTGGAAGTGTGGATTCCCAGACAAGACCTCTTGAAATGTGACAATACACTATTATCCACTGAGGTAAAAATATAACTGGCTGTTTACACTAGCTCCCACACAATCAACAGGTAAAGAGAGGGTCTTTCCTATTCATGGGAACTTCGTGCCTAAAACAAAAAGGTGAAGCTTAGGTCATCTAAAGCTAAGAACTTGATATCTACCCACAGAGACATTATCAAAAGGCATATTACTAACAATTTTTATCAAGGGAAAATATTTTTGAGAAGGTTAGGTATTGCATACCACTCAATTAAGTGTGAAACGATGAAGAATAAGATGAATCGTGAATTGGTGTCAATTACACATTTCCAAAAGAAATCAAATGTTTCAAAACAGTTAAATATCAGGGAAATGAGGAACCAAATGTATGTACATCTTTCTATGGTTCTCATTCAAGAGTAATATCAACTATACTTGAATAGGATACATATCCTTTGATTGAAATAACATGTCTTTAGGTATCAAATATATGAGTCATCATTACAACACAAATTGTTTTGTAATCCCTAGCTGCCCCCCAGTGGACAGGTGAGAGATATCTTATGTACACACACTTCTTGACCGGCCAATCAACAAGCCTGTTGGGAGGGTCTTTTAAAACAAAGGTTTGGATGGTATAAAAAGCCATGCACCTCACATCTACATCAAAAAATCAAGCGAAAAAATCAAGCTGAAAAGGAGGAGAAAAATCTGAAAAGGAAAATCTTGAAGAATCTGAAGAAGCTGAAATCTGAACCATCTGAAAAACTTAAAGATCTTCTAAAACTACTTCTAAATCTTTTAAAACTTCTGCTAAACTTCTGAACCTCTAAACTTCTATACTTCTCCTATAACACTACAATCTAGGCTGCTATAACTTCCAATATATCTCATCTATCCTATTGCTAACACCTACTGCCTTATATCTCACCTGCTACCTGCGGCCAATTGGCTGAAGAAGTCCAGCTGCCCTTTTGTCTTGAGTCTTTACTATTATCTATATCTATTGTTTGATCATAGAAATTAGCCTGTTATATTTTTGATTATACAGTGGGGATCGAAAGTTTGGGCACCCCAGCTAAAAATTTGTATTAATGTGCATAAAGAAGCCAAGGAAAGATGGAAAAATCTCCAAAAGGCATCAAATTACAGATTAGACATTCTTATAATATGTCAACAAAAGTTAGATTTTATTTCCATCATTTACACTTTCAAAATAACAGAAAACAAAAAAAAATGGCATCTGCAAAAGTTTGGTCACCCTGCAGAGTTAATATCTTGTACTGCCCCCTTTGGCAAGTATCACAGCTTGTAAACGCTTTTTGTAGCCAGCCAAGAGTCTTTCAATTCTTGTTTGAGGTATCTTTGCCCATTCTTCCTTACAAAAGTCTTCCAGTTCTTTGAGATTTCTTGGCTGTCTGTCACGCACTGCTCTTTTAAGGTCTATCCATAGATTTTCAATTATGTTGAGGTCAGGAGATTGTGAAGGCCATGGCAAAACCTTCAGTTTACGCCTCTTGATGTAATCCCCCGTGGATTTCGAGGTGTGTTTAGGATCATTATCCATTTGTAGAAGCCATCCTCTCTTTAACTTCAGCTTTTTCACAGATGGCATCAAGTTACTATCCAAAATTTGCTGAAATTTTATTGAATCCATTTTTCCTTCTACTCGTGAGATGTTCCCTGTGCCACTGGCTGCAACACAACCCCAAAGCATGATTGATCCAACCCCATGCTTAACAGTTGGACAGAGGTTCTTTTCATTAAATTCTGTGCCCCTTCTTCTCCAAACGTACCTTTGCTCATTCCGGCCAAAAAGTTCAATTTTAACCTCATCGGTCCACAGAACTTGTTTCCAAAATGCATCAGGCTTGTCTATATGTTCATTTGCAAAGTTCAAACGATGATTTTTGTGGTGAGGACGTAGAAGAGGTTTTCTTCTGATGACTCTTCCATGAAGACCATATTTGTACAAGTATCTCTTTATAGTGGAATAGTGTACCACAACTCCAATGTCTGCTAGATCTTTCTGGAGGGATCGTGCAGTCAAACGTGGGTTTTGAATTGTTTTTCTCACAATCATGCGAGCTGTTCTGTCTGATATTTTTCTTGGTCTTCCAGATGTTGCTTTAACTTCCACTGTTCCTGATGACTGCCATTTCTTAATTACATTCCGAACAGAGGATATTGACATCTGAAAACGCTTTGCTATCTTCTTATAGCCTTCTCCAGCTTTGTGAGCATCAACTATTTTCAGTTTCAGTTTTCTAGACAACTGCTTAGAAGAACCCATGGTGCTGATTGTTGGGGCAAGGTCAGATGAGTCTGGGCATTTAAAACCTTTGAGATTGACATTACCTGGTCTTCCCAGACAATGATTGAGAACAATCCATGACACTGGCAGGTCTCAGCTTGGCAAAGGGGGCAGTGCATGCTATAAATTCTGCAGGGTGCCCAAACTTTTGCAGACGCCATTTTTTTTGTTTTCTGTTATTTTGAAAGTGTAAAATGATGGAAATAAAATCTAACTTTTGTTGACATATTATAAGAATGTCTAATCTGTAATTTGATGCCTTTTGGAGATTTTTCCATCTTTCCTTGGCTTCTTTATGCACATTAATAAAAATTTTTAGCTGTGGTGCCCAAACTTTCGATCTCCACTGTATGTACAAGTATACATTTATCACCAGCATTTTGCGTTTGTATTAATATATATATAAATTTTGTACATAAATAAATTTATTTATTAAAAAGGCAATTTTTGTGTATATGGTACGAAATCATACTGGCTAAAAGAACTCAAGGTATATTATTAAGTGGTGATCAAATTATTAAGGTGTCCAAATTATTGGTTCATTAAACATTTGCCGTATTTTAACGGCTGGAGGCAGTGCGATATTTTATTTAAGGGAAAGGACACCGCCCTACATATTTAGAATAAATTCTTACATAAACCACCACATGCTCTAGAGTCCAGTGGCTTTACACCACTGCATCTGTCGCTTTGCATTCCACTTGGTGATGTAAGGCTTGGATGCAGCTGCTTGGCCATGGAAACCCATTCCATGAAGCTCTCTACAAACTGTTGTTGTGGTAATCTGAAGGTTTCCCAGTTGCTTGCACTTTGTTATAATACTGCTAACAGTTGACCGTGGAATATTTAGTAGCAAGGAAATTTCACAGATGGACTTATTGCACAGGTGGCAAACTATCACGGTACCACACTGGAATTCACTGAGCTCCTGAGAGCGACCAATTCTTTCACAAATATTTTAGAAGCAGTCTGCACGCCTAGGTACTTTATTTCATACACCCGTGGCCATGGAGGTTATTGGAACTCCTGAATCCAATGAATTGGAGGGGTGTTCCAATACTTTCGGTAAAAAAAAAAAAAAATATATATATATATATATATATATATATATATAATATATATATATATATATATATACATACATATATATATATATATATATATACATACACACACACACACACAATTTATGGCAGTCACATAAAGGGGATGAAAATGTTTAGGGAGTATTGTGGTCTCTCTTTTTGGCTGTTTGCAATACTGACATTTAATCTGATATGATAAACTTTCTCAGAGCCCTCCCAATACAGAACTGTTCTTACCTACACTGGTAACGTATGCCCAGTATCCTCTTTTTGCAATTACTGCAGGCCAAAAGCCAGTCATACAGAGATCTCAGAGAATTTGTCTGTTCTGGTGCTGAAGAGGAATTGCTGTCCAACATCCAATCCGGACTCTGCGACAGCCTGTCCTTCATTACTTCTGTTACTTTTACTACTGTTTCATGTATGATTTGCTCCTTAAACTGGATACAAGGGAGAAAGTGAAAGATGTAATTTATTTCATTAGAACCAAGTAGCAAAAAAACGTTTTGTGTTTTTTTATATTTTAACGAAGATCTAAAAAAAATAAAACAAACCAGTACATCCATGATTAATGAACATGAATCAAATCAATTCTGACACTATTTGGTACAAGTTGGCATTCTCAGTCATGATGGGACACATGGGAGGTGAACTGCTTATGGCCATAATTCTGTGACAGGGAGCACCAGGTGCTAGCAGCCTGTCAAGATCAACTACAGGCTGAAATATACAGTAGCTGTATGTGTATGTGCACACATCTCTGCATGCAAGTACCATGTAGATATACATATATCTGCATACAGCCTCTGCTTATTTCAGCCTGTCATTGATCTTGACAGACTGCTGCCAGCAGGCTGTACATTGTACCTGTGCAATCTAAATATACTGAGTGGGTCTAAAATATGGTATGTAACCAAAATGGAAAAATGTTAACACCTCAAATTGTTAATACAGAAAACTACATCTACACCATGTGTAATCCACACTATCCTTGTTATAAATGCTTGGAACTGTCACTAGACCGCACAGTAAAAGCTGTATTTTGCCATCTGGGCTAATGTGTACCTAGCCTTAATGGTCAGTGGACAAGTTGCCTGCATAAAAAAAAGTGTCTTTAACCACTTGAGTATCAGCTTGTATTACCCTTTCATTACCACGCCTTTTATTGTTTTCTGTACTTTGATAGTTTGGCCAACAATTATTTGTCATGCAAGACTGTACCCAAATTAATTTTATACAATTTTTTGAGGCAGATAGAGCTTTCTTTTGGTGGTATTTAATAACTGCTGTTTTTTTATTCCTTACATTCTGTCAAAATAAAAAATGCCGGAATATTATGAAAAGCCTCCAAATGATGCTTTTTTTGGAAAGCAGACACCCCAAGATGATCTTTTTAGCCAGTTTTTTGGGGAAATTAATAAACATTCCAGTAAGGGGGTTTAAACATGGAGCTTGAGCAACTGTGACTTGACAGAACTCCCATACGGCACTCTTCATCACTCTTTTACACCTTCCTGACTGACAGAGACCAGAAGTGAACCACACTTCATAAAACGTTGGAAAAATAAATGGTGTTCTCCCAAGCTCTAAAAGACTGTATAGTCCTCTTTGTGCACAAAGCCTCTATTGCTTATAAAATATCAAGAAAATAACTAAAAATTATTAACCAGATGGTACAGAACTCCCAGTGTCCTCCATCGCATGTTTCTGCAAGAGTCCAAGCGTTGTTGGAGATGCCTAGAGGCAGGCAGAACCCTTCTGCATTTCTTTTGGGAATCCCCCAGGTGAATTCTGTCAAAGTCACGATAAAGACCCTAACTGATGAGCCTCTGGAAAGAACCCCAGAAGCCTACCTATGGCATGACACCCCTCTTTCTACAAGGGTTGAATGACAGCTAGGTACATAGCAATCACCCGGGGAATCAGCCACCTGATGGCTATTTATCCAGTGCTGTTCATAAATGGCACTGGGTAGATAAAGAGCCACTGATCTGCCATTGATACATGTACAACAATCCACAAGTGGTCATATCTGCACTAGTTTTGACAACACACATGGGTGACCTACGTACAGCTGGGTCTGTTCTCCCCTACACTGAAAATACTGCATTGTATTGTGAATATAATCATTCATTTCTTGTGACACGGAGACAGTGCTAGTGTAGCTCAGGAAAAAACTACTAGCACGTTACCTTCCAAAATGATTCATGTAACAAAATGTTTCCAAACCTGTGTGGTTCACTCTTCAAATACAAGTTAACCTTTACATATTTTTTCATATCCTCAGTTCACAAGAGTTTACATTTATATACAGTATATGTGCCAACTAGGAGACACTTACTCTGTCCATGTATCTGATGAACCAATCTGGAGGAAACTGAGTGGGTACAACATCCGATGTTGCACTGCTCTGCTCCTGTAAAACAAAATTATTAGTATGCATAAGTATACATAAGAGCACCAGTACAATTACCCATCTGTGAGGGACCGCCGAGTGGCACCTCTAGCACTCCACTGGTCAGGCGTGCCCAGAGCGCGGAGTCTAAGCCCCGGGGTACTTGTTCACCAGGGCCCCTGATGGTGGGGATGGACTTGTAGTACCCCGAGACCAGGTCGCCTCTACTGAGCACACCTGTCAGTGGTAGGGGTGTTCGCCAGGGGTTCCAACCAGGGAGAGCCAGATGTGAGGAGGCCGGGTGAGCCCGATGGGATGGATGGATGGATGGCTGAGCAGGTGCGTAGTCAGACAGGCCGAGTCGGTAATGTAGAGCAGTGTTTTTCAACCTTTTTTGTGCAAAGGCACACTTTTTTCATTAAAAAAAATCACGAGGCACACCACCATTAGAAAATGTTAAAAAAATTTACCTCTGTGCCTATATTGACTATATATAAAGTAATTCTCTTGAATAGGAATCAAACACAAAGAAATTATTTTATAATTACTTTATTATGAAATAATAAAGTATTTTATAATTGGACCCGGGGGCCGGACCAAGAGTAGATGAATGATGTGTATGTGTCATCCATAGTAAGTATAGTAATATTCCCCCATAGTAAGCATAGTAATTAATCCCCCATATAGTAATTCATCCTCCATATAGTAATTCATCCCCCATAGTAATTCATCCCTCATATAGTATTTCATCCCCCCATATAGTATTTCATCCCCCCATATAGTATTTCATCCCCCCATATAGTATTTCATCCCTCATATAGTAATTCATCCCTCATATAGTATTTCATCCCTCATATAGTATTTCATCCCTCATATAGTATTTCATCCCCCATATAGTATTTCATCCCCCCATATAGTATTTCATCCCCTCATATAGTATTTCATCCCTCATATAGTATTTCATCCCCCCATATAGTATTTCATCCCTCATACAGTAATTCATCCCTCATATAGTAATTCATCCCCCATATAGTATTTCATCCCTCATATAGTATTTCATCCCCCCATATAGTATTTCATCCCTCATATAGTAATTCATCCCCCCATATAGTATTTCATCCCCCCCATATAGTATTTCATCCCCCCATATAGTATTTCATCCCTCATATAGTAATTCATCCCTGATATAGTAATTCATCCCCCATATAGTATTTCATCCCCCCATATAGTATTTCATCCCTCATAAAGTAATTCATCCCTCATATAGTATTTCATCCCCCACAGTACTATTCCCCCCCCCCCCTTCTAGTAAGCCAAGTCCCCCGTGTCAATTCACTTACCTTTTGCGTTCCTCTCGCTGTCTTCCCGCGCCGTTCGGGTCTTCAGGGCGGACTGTGAGAGGAGCCTAGCTCCCCTCCCCTCACGTTCGGCACGCTGCCCCGCCTACACACATCCTGACAGCCACATCCGCAAGCCGGATTAAAAGGTCCGCGCGCGGACTTTTGGGGCTGCCAACCGAGAGGAGGCAGGGGAGCGGCCGACCGAGAGGGAGGGAGGGGAGCAGGCGCCCGGCACACAGAAGAGCCGCATTAGACTGGGTAAAGAGCCGCATGTGGCTCGCGAGCCGCGGCTTGCCGACCACTGAATCATTAGATTCTAATGATTGGTCTATTTGTGAGCCGAAGCCACATGTTACAGATGAAATTGGAATTTTTCCCACGGCACACCAGACAATATCTCACGGCACACTAGTGTGCCGCGGCACAGTGGTTGAAAAACGCTGATGTAGAGGACGGTAAGGTACAAGGGAGCAGGCAGAGAATCGTCGGGTCACACGCCAGGTCAGCAACAGGAGGTCAGATCTAATAAGGGGCATCCAGGGAGAGAGGTCAGGCAAGCAGGGGTCTGGGCAGGAGATATCAGCAAGGTCAAAGGCAATCCGGGTCAATAACTTACTAGGCACAGGTACAGGATCACAGGAAGCAGGTAAGACCAGAAGGCAACGAAATGACAGCTCAGGGACCTTTAAATATCCCGCCCTGCGCTGCCATTGGTGCCCAGCGGGCGGCCGCGGCTTCTACTGCGCATGCGCGAACTCGAACGCCGCGGCCGGCCCGGACCTAGTGCCCGTGCGCTGGGTGGAGCAGTGCGCCTGCGCCGGGACCATCGCGGCAGGGATCGCGGAGATCCCTGACACCATCATTCTATGCACAGGAGAAAAAAAAATCAAATTCGATGCACAGATTTATAAAATCATTGGCCTTTTGATTTCACTCTCACATATTTTCATAACTCATACAGCCTTTAAACACTGAACTGCTGAAAAAATTACATGGGGCCCTAAATCACCCAAAAATAAAATTAAAGCTTTGAGTGTATGAAAAAGTTAAATCACCCACTAACTTAAAGTGTTACTAAACCCAGAACAGTGAAATCAGTCTGTATATGCAGTAAAGCATGCTTGTTCACTGTGGATCCTAAGGGGTTAATCCTCTATTGTGGAAAAAGGCTGTTGATCCTGTCTCTCTGATCCTCCCCTTCGTCTACTGTCCCCAATCCATCTCCTGATAGAACAGAGTCTTCGGGGCAAGCTACACATGCTCAGTTTGTATTGCTAGAGCGTTTTTATTTTCTTTGGGAGGGTGTATGTGATTAGCACTGGGTCAATCAGCACTGTTCAGACAGAGGGTCAGGTGTCATGCAGCCTCTCAGGACAGCTGACTGTCAGGAGAATGAAAACTCCTCCTTCCAGCTTTAACCAGTGCTCAACCAGACACAGATAGAAGCCACAGGAGTGCTATATACTGCGGATGAAAAAAGCTTTATATTTACTAAAATATTTGCATTTCCATGTTCTGTGTACTGTGGGAGACCAGGAATAGTGAATGCAGGATCCTGGGTTTAGTAACACTTTAAATATATATTGCAGAAACCAATGGCAGGATTTTCCTGCACTGTGTCTCTCCACCCTCTCCTGCAATGGCTACCGGGAAGGTACTTGCATTTGCATTCAATTTCCACCTGTTCTTTGCAGGGGTTACTCAGAATAAGGTTATTAAATTACTATGGATTTAGATTCAGACCAAGGCTCAAATCATAGAAATTGTAAGAGGACTGGCTACACATTTTACAATCTGATTGTAAATAGAACTAGACAAACATGTAAAGGTGTTTGGACTTATATCAAATCCAATGCATTCAAAAAATTCAGATCAAGTTGTATGAAACAACAAGTGGATGAAGACACCAAATGCTGCCAATCCCATACACACCCAAAATTTCAGCTGACTCATGCTGAATCAGCCAGAATTAGAGCTGTGTGTTGCCCTCTCTGAACCACCAGGCTCAACAAAGTTCGATTTAAAAATGGAGCTGACTGCATCTGGTGCAAAGTTCACAGTGGAACAGTGACCACAGGTGCTGCTGCTGATTAACACAATAGCCAGCAATGGAGATTCCTCCATCTATGTTATTTACTTGGATGGAGGTGTTGCCTATTTTTCTTTTATTAAACCCAAAGGTTGAACAAAAGAAAAAAAAAAAAGAGAGAACTTATTGATTGAACTGGATGAGCTTAATAATGGACTTTCTGCCTTCCACGCATATCTATGGGCCAGTAACATAGAAGAATAATCAAAATGGCCCAACAGAGATATATAGTGGCAGTAGAGAACAGGCAAGCTCTGACACAACCAGAAGTGTCAGAGCTCTGTCTGAGCAGAATGGCCCAGCACTCATCTAGGTACCTGCACTTTAACCAGTCAGTAGCTTGTTTTTTGTGGGTTAAAGCAGCAAAGTCACTTTTTACTTTGTTATTTAGTTGAGGTTAAGCCTAAACCTCTACACGCTGTTATCAAACTCAGATGTGTGCCATCACTCTTACATGCACACATTTTAACTGATCTTTATGCACTGAGTCCATTTGCCCACAGAAAACAAAAGATCACAAAAAAAAACAAAAAGATTTTATTTACGGCCGTGTGTGTGTGTGCATGAGAACCACTCTTACCTATAAAAGCCTTTACATCCTAAGCACATTTACTTAGCAACACCCCTTTAACCATCTCCCGTCCGGCCGTTGTATATAAAACGGCCGGGACGGTGGCAGTGCAGGGTCGGGCATATAAACGGCCTCCCCGCCCCTTGCTTGTGCACGCTCCCTGGAACACCGGACACACTGGAACATTGATGGTCGTACGGGACCTCTGTGCGAGGTCCCAATCATGTGATCACTGATTGGCCAATCAGTGATCACATGCAGAGTAGTAAGCAAGATGTCACTTCTGACATTGTTTACTACGTCTGAAATCTGTGAATGATCACAGAGGTCAAATGGTACAAGGCTATTCACAACAGCCTTGTACCATGTGACAAGCTATAACCAATCACAGCTCACACAGTAGCTCTCAATGGCTGCAAGAATGCAGCCAGAGAGAAGGAGAAATGATTGCTTTTACAGCCCTTATGGGTGTAAAAGCAATCAGTGTAAAAAAAAAAAAAAAAATCTTCATATCCCCCCACAAGTAGTACAGTGTCACCATGGTGACACTGTACTGCTAGGGTGATCGCTTGTAAAAAAAAAACAAAAAAAAAAAAAAACCCATAAATTAATAATATATAAAAATGTAAAAAATGTTTAAAAATTATAATTTTTGGTTATAAACTAATTTGGGTTATTTTTTTTCACTAAAAAGATAACGGAATACATTTTGGCCAAGATTTATGATTAAATAATATTTATTTGCAAAATTGTATAAGAAAAACACTTTTTTTAACAAAATTTGTGGACTTTTTCATTTACATAGCAAAAAATAAAAAATAAAAATCCCAGTGGTGAATAAATACCACCAAAATAAAATTATCTATCTCAAAAAAATGCTAAAAAATTCATATGGGTACAGTGTTGCATGACCACGCAGTTGTAATTCAAAATGTGATAGCACTGGAAGCTGAAAATTGGCCTTGACAGGAAGGGGGTAAAAGTGTCCATACTTGTGGTTAATGCAATGAATACATTCCTA